TTGTCATCCCTGAATGTAAAAGGTAGTAAGGTTCGATATATTCCCCTTCCAACTTATGTATTTCTTTTTATTGGAAGTGAAATGGAAACCCCTCATCACTCCTGTTCGAATGATTTGTGGTTAAATTTTTTAAATAAACCTCTCTTCAAGTATTATATACTTTTGTTATTTTCATTACCTAATTAATTTAATTTTTCACTTTTTAATTAGGTATTATGATTAGTAGAGAAGTAGATCCAAGTGATAATAATGTTATTATGATTCCAAAAAAATCATCATTATCATCATCGTCATCATGGACAAGATTTAAAGATCCAAGGATTGTTCGTGTGTCACGAGCATTTGGGGGAAAAGATCGTCATAGCAAAGTTCTTACAGTGAAAGGGCTGAGGGATCGGAGAGTTAGGCTCTCCGTTCCCACAGCCCTTCAAGTGTATGATCTTCAAGACAAATTAGGGCTAGATCAACCAAGCAAAGTTGTGGATTGGTTGCTTAATGAAGCTAAGCATGACATCGACGAATTACCTCCACTTCAAATAAGGGATCAGACCGGGTTGCCTCTGACCGGTCTGAGGAAGGAAGAGGAGGAGACGATGGTGGTGTCTGATGAGGATAGAGTGAAACTAGATGTGCGAAATCTTGACCTAAAGGGCAATAGCAATAGCAATAACAATAAAAATAGCTTCAGCTTTGGCCTTTATAAGGATAATCACTCCTCTCAATCAGGTATTTTTATATATTGATGTTGTATTACAAATAGTCAGACCTCTCTTTAACAATATTTATCATAATACTACTATAATCAAGGTCATCTTAACAAATTTGGGAGTCTAAAGCCAAATTTCATAAATAGGTTTTAATTTATTTTTTAAAAAAAGTTATGGTATATAAATTGAATAGCTATAAGCCTATAACATACTTAATGTAACCTATAAGTATCGATAAGGGAGAATGCATGCAGACCTTATGAAGTAAGTATGCAAACAAAGAAATTTTCAATGGAGTAATATAAAGTTAAAATAATAAAACTTAACTCGAAACATTAAAAAGTTTATATAATGATATTGATGTAGTTGGGCTGGAGTTGATAAGTTGATATAATAATAATATTAATATAGTATTGATTTGTTGCGGTGCTTGAAATTTAAAAAAATCAACAAAAAATTTTAAAAAAATTGATCTTTTTGTATATAAACAACAATATATTTTAAATAATGAAAAATGTTTAATGATTTGATTGACTTAACAATATTCAATACAATAATGAGAGAATGAAAATAGAAAATTAAGGAAGTAAAAAGGTAAATGCTAGAATAATAATATAGGTTTATGATAACTGTCCATATTTAAATAAGTCAACAAATAAGTGTCGTGTAAGAAAAAATGTTACTCCCTCTATTTAAAAAAAATGATTTAGTTTTTTATTAGTCTGTTTAAAAAAAGAATGACTTTTTTTGGCACCTGACATATTTAAGGCAACAAAATTAAAGGACATTTTGGTATATTTGACATAATTTTAATTTAGAACCACTTTAAAAAAATCTTTTTTTTTCTTAAATTATGTTTCAAATCAAATTAGGTCATTCTTTTTTAAACAGAGAGAGTATTAATTAAAAAGTTTATATAATGATATTGATATAGTTACGTTGGATTTGATAAGTTGATATAATAATATTAAAATTATATTAATTAGTTGTAGTGCTTGAATTTTAAAGAACACACCCAAAAAAAATTGATCTTTTAATTTATATAAACACACAACAATATATTTTACGATTTGACAGACTTTAAAATATTCAATAACGAGAGATAAAAATATAAAAAGGAATTAAAATGGTAAATGCTAGAATAATAATGTGGGCTTATGATAATCGTCAAGATATAAATAAGTCAACAAAGTAAGTGTCGTGTAAGAAAAGACGCTAGTATTAATTAGCTAAAAACTATTCCATTTCTCAATTATTACAACAACATCCACATTAAATAATCTGAAATTCCCAAACAATTGTTTTAGTGACCTTATGATTGAGACAATCTTTAACTATAACCATGTTATTTAATATTATATATGTTCAAACAAAATGATATCATTGTTATTTTCTTAAAATGGGATTCTTCATATGAAATAATGTTTGATCACTAATAAAGCCTTTTTTTTTCTCATAATGACTCTAGTTCATACAGATAGTCACCATGGAGTAGCAGTACCACATGAACACGAAGAAATTCAAAATTTCAATGTTATGGCTGCTTTGCCTTCAACAATTTACAATATGCCATTAAGTTCACAATATTTTTTTCATCCACATATATAATTAAACCTAAAATATTTGATCCAAAGAAGTATATGCTACATTTGTTTCCTATATTATGAAATTTATAGTCTAAATAATTGTTGGAAATTAAACTTACAAAGTTGGTGATCATTTGTTAAGGTTGATAAGTTAATGATAATTATATTATTGGGTGGTAATTAATA